GAACCCAATCACCCTCGTCACGGCGTCGCCCTTCTTGCCCGCAAAGGAAGCGACGACTGCCCAATTGTCTCCAACTCACGCTGAAACACGCAATCCCCCGGTCGCCTGATTGTCGCCTCAGCATCCATCCATGGTATCACCACCCTCCTCGTGAACGTGTACGCTCCGGCCAGCGGCGACGCGTCCCTGCGCATCAGGTTCCTCGAAGAAGTGGAAACCATCATCACCACGCACCTGCATCCGATCGTCGACGGAGAAGCGCAACCCGCTCTTCCGATGATTGTCGGCGGTGACTTCAACCTCTGCTTGAGCAATCAACGCAACTACTTGTCCTCCTCTACTCATCCCCCGCCATTGGATCTTGCGCAGAGGTTCTTTGCCAACCTGACCTCCCGGCTCAACCTGTCCGAGTCGTGGACGGAGTGCCACGGCAACAAGCATCTGTACACTTGGTCCCCAACAGGCAACTCCCCTGGTTCCAGCAGACGCATTGATTACATCTTCACCAACGATGCATTTCCCTTTACCCCCGTCTCCTTCGAGGCCAAGGAAACGAGGTCTGACCACCGAGCTCTCATTGCGGCTTTCCACCACGTTGACCACCAACACCGTCCCCCTCCGCCATTCAGACTGAACTCCCGGCTCCTGACGGACCAGCGTCTGTTGGACTTTGTCCACACGTGCATTGATCAGCTGAACGAGTCCATCCGGCTGTCGAAAGATCACGCCCCCCTGGCCTGGGACATTTTCAAATCCAGAGTTGTCCGCTACGCGTCGTCCCTTGGCGCCTACGTGGCCAAATGCAACCGCATTGACGAGGAAGCTTGTCATCATCTCATCACCCACGTCGAATGCCTGATGCAGGATCCCCTGCTCACGGCGGACCAGCTCAAACGTCTCCAGGACGCCCGCTCTGGCGCTGTAGCTGAGCTCCAAGAAATCGCTCGTACCAAGGCTGAAGGCGCTAGGTTGAGGTCGCACCACCTCTCGTGTGCCCTCACCGAACGCTGCACCAAGGTGTTCTTTAGCCTTGAGCGTGAGTGCATCAAAGCCCAAACCATTGCCAAACTCACGGTGAACGGCGAGGACTTTACTACTCCGAACGACATAGCATCCGTGCTGCACGACTTTTACTCCAAACTCTATGACTCTGAACCAATCGACGCGGCAGCCCTGAGCGAGGTCCTTGCGCAAGCAAATCCGGCGCGAAAGCTGTCCCGAGCAGAACAGAAGTCACTGGGCGCGGATCTCAACCCGTACGAGATTGCTGTCGCTATCGAGAACACTGCGCCTGACAAGAGCCCCGGTCCTGACGGCCTGACAGGTGCCTTCTATCGCACATTCCAGGCACGCCTCTGCTACGCATTGTCCCACGTAGCCAACGCGGCGTACCGGAACAAACGCCTCCCTGACTCCATGCTTGAAGGGTACCTGAAGGTCATGTACAAGAAAGGCGCCCGCTCAGACCCGGGCAACTACCGACCAATCACCTGTCTCAACGTGGACTCGAAGATTATTTCCAGAGCCTTGATGGCGCGCTTTGCCCTGATTGCCCCTGAGATTGTCAACCTCAACCAGAATTCCTGGTCGTACCATCGATGCCAACATCCATCTCATGCGCGACTTGCTCGATTTGTGCCGCGTGTGCAACATTCCGGGTGCTGCTGTCCTGCTGGACTCGGAGAAGGCATTCGACAGAGTCGATCACCAATTCTTATTCCAAGCACTCCGCAAGTACGGCGTCGGTGAGAGTTTCATCAGCTGGATGGAACTGCTCAACACTGGCTGCCAATCCCGCGTTGTGTACAACTGCACCATCTCGCTTCCATTCCCGATCAAACGATCTGTGCGTCAAGGGAGCGTCGAAGCGCCGTTCTTGTATGCCATCTACGCCGGCGTCATCTCCGACTATGTCATCCACAAACTGCGCGACAAGATGCTCTCTCTGGCCCTGAGGTCTGGTCCCCAAATCGTGGAACCCAGCTTGTTTGCTGACGACACTTCGATCTTCCTGTCGGATCCCAACCACATCCATGCCCTGTTTGAAGTCTACGCAACAGTTGGCAGGGCTACCAACCTCAAGATCAACGAGGCCAAAACCTCCGTCCTGCGTCTCGGCCCCCTTCGGGATGCCGATCCGCCGGACGGCTTGGCTCATCTCCAATGGGTGCCTCCTGACGGCACCACTCGAGTCCTTGGCGTGCAACTTGGCTACGGCGATCTTGCCAAAGCCAACTTCGAGCCCCTGCGAGCCAAGGTCGCGCGTGCGCTGGGTCGCTGGTCGCGCCACAGTCTCTCGATCGCTGGCAGGGTCCTGATTGCCAACGCGATCGGACTCTCCCGCGTCTGGTACCACTGTCGCTTCATCCACATGCCCAACAAGTACTCCAAGGCACTGTCCGACACTGTCAACAAGTATCTCTGGAAAGGCCGATTCTCCCCGGTCACCAGGAAGGTTGTGACCGCTCCTCCCAAAACGATCGTGTTTGGGCTTGGACTCATCGATCTCCCCACCAACATTGCAGCGACGGCTGCCCAAGCGCTAATCAACTTCCTGTCGCCTGTCCCCAGCTTCTGGAAGTTGGTTGTCAACCACCTCGCCGAAGTGGCTGACAGACCAGCTCGGCTCTCCGACTATCCTGTCGCCGAGTACACGGCCATGCAGCGGCTAGTCGCCAAATTCCCATTCAGACTTTCGCTCTCGGTGTTCTGGCACCATGCCTTCAGGGCGTGGCGCAGGCTGCTCCCTTTCTCTGAGCCTCCTCGCTCGAAGAATGAACTGCTCGCCACTCCCCTCTGGCGCAACCCCATGCTTGACATGATCGACTTCAGGATGCTACGGAAACACGGCATCTCGTACCTCCATCATCTCCACTCTGGTAAGAAATGGCAGTCGGCCCGCGATCTCCGCGAGTTCTGCGACTCCCGTCTGCCACAGGTCGAAGCCAGACTCCAAGTGATCCGCTCCAAAGTCTCGCACATCGACCCGTCCAAACTGCGGATCGCCCCTGTGCGCTTCCGCGAGAACGATTGGGTTGTTGACTCGTGGGGCTTCCTCCGCAGAATCTTGGAAACTCCGGCCGCCGACGCCTTGTCCGTGCGCGTGAAGCCCTACGTGTTCCGCCTCCACGGTCAGGTTGTGGTGCCTAAGCACATCCTCTCAGCCAGGCTCCCGCTTGCTGAACTCACCCCAGCAGTGGTCTCGGGATTGGACCTCTCCGTCTGCCAAGCCCCACACCCAAGAAAAGCGACCTGCTGATGCAGCTCGCTGAAGCCTATCCTCCACCCAAAAGCCCCTGAGGTCGAAGGATTCTTCTTTGGCTC